TTCCACCCCTCAGGACCTCTCACTCATGAACCGGGTCCCAGAGAGTCCACCATAAATGTGAAGGTTGTGGTGGGGTGCATTCTCTCCTCCAGATTGGGCATCAGAGGTTTGCTGGACATTCATGGTAAAAGCCCCTGTGTATAGCAAATCTGAAAATGGATACCCAATAGGGGAACTCACCTACTGAAGAGCCAGTGTTTTGTTAGTAGTAGCAGCACTCAAAAGAGAGGACAAGGATGGCAACCCTTGTGAGAGGGGGGCCCTCAAGCAGCGAGGCATTCCCCCTCCCAGGTTTTGGCTTTGATGAAAGAACAAAAAAGGCACATTGTTGGATAAAATGCCCATTTATTGAAGAAAAGTTCTGTATATTTATAGAACCGAGGGTAGTTTGACAGTTATGACAGTTTAACAGTTTAATGGTTTGCAGTTGGCATGGGGTGCTTTCTGATTGATGGGTAAGGATCATGTGAGTTAGCAGGCCTAGCCTAGTCTGATTGGGTGGATAAAGATCATGTAAGCCAGCAGGGCTTGTCTAATTGGTGTATAAGGATCATGTGAGTCAGCAGGGCTCATATTGGACAGCTCTTCTTGGGAGATGGGGAAGTTAGAGGGAGAACTTGTGAGAGGGCAGATTGGCAAGTGTGGCTGAATCAATGAGAAAAACGTAGCTTTGTTGGCATTTTATGTAATCTGTTGACTCACAAATCTACCCAGAACACAGGTATTGTTCCTTTGTTTTGTGTCAATACAGCACTCATGCATTTTTTTAAAAAATTTGCTCAATATTCAAATAAAAACAACATAAAATATTCTTCTACCTAATCTTACTATTCTATGGATAACCTAAGACGTCCTCAACTTTTCCCAAGAAAAGTATATAAAATATACAACCCTTTCCTCATTAAGGGAAAAAATCCTTTTTTTTTGTATTTTGTGTGAAATTTATTCTGTTTCTACTGATTCATACTCCTTCATTTATATCCAGTTATTTAAATACTAAGATATTATTTTAGCTAGTATTCACACCTCATGTTTGATAAGAGGATGACAATGAAATAAACACTTAATTTGTATAATATAAATAAACAAATTCTTATCAGCATTAAAAAGAAATGCAAAAGTATGGCAGTCTGTGTTCCTAAGGGTTGACAACATGGTCATTAATGGTGTTTATAACCATCCTATTTCACTCCCCAGTACATACTGCCTTGGTTCACAGCTGGTCATTGTTGCTAGTCAGGTGGGTGACCCAAACCTTAATCTCTAAAGGATCTGAGCCTTTATCAGTGTGACCTGACTTGGGATTTAGTTTCCTATTGCCCTCCATCACAGGACCTGGGAGTTCGAAGAGGCACTAAGAAAATGTCCTATGTCACACTTGCTCTTGCTCTCTGTATGGTGTAGTAGCAACTCAGTTTCTCATTCCTAGTCAGAATCAATCACTATATGCCACAGAATGATTCTTCTTCACCTGTTGATTCAGCTATAATGAGAATCCTAAAGTGGAAGTAGAGCAATCTTAACTCTCAGAAAATGGAATCAATTTGTGTCTGGGTGGAAGGAAGCATCTCTCTCGTTGTCGCTAAGAATTTTCTTAAACAGCAGAACTGAAAAGTGAAGGAACACTTTTCAGTTGTTGGTGGGTCATAGACATCAATGTTATAGGGGAGAACACACTCTCATTTCTATTCATTGAATGCTTGGGGTCTGATCTTATGAATCCTTTTTGTAAAAGAAGCAGTACCATTAATTAGATGTAGATGTGGAGCACGTACACACCCTGGAAGACATTGTCCCACCAATGAGAGATGTTTCCAGCTATGTGTAGCTTGAGGGAGAGTCTTACAAGGACATTTTTCCATTACATCAGGTTCTGTGTTTCAGGAAGTTGAAAGACCTATGTTAAGTATAACAAATCCCATTATCACAGGCCACATTGCACACTTGTTTGCTGTGAATCAAGCTCCTTGATCAAGAGCAATGCTGCGTGGAATACTCTTATGGCAAATAAAGCATTCTGTGAGTCCAGAGATGTTAGTTCTGGCAGCAGCACTTCAGGAGAGGAAGCAAAATCCATACACAGAGTGAATGTCCAGTCCAGAAAAAAAAAAAGAGTGTCCCTTTCATGTTGAATGTGGTCCAATGTCATCAATGTGTTAAGAAGGGGCTCCCTGATCACCCCAGGGAATGGTGCAATGTTGGGAACTCAGGTTGGTCTTTTGTATTAGCCATGAGTATTCAGCAGGGGCTTTAGACAGATTGGCTTTGGTGAGTATACGTCCATCTTGCTGAATCCAGGAATAATCTTTACCCCTGATGACATATCCAGTTTGTTCATGGATCTATTGGGAAGATGCCAGGACTGAGTGAGGAAACAGGGGTTGATATCCAAAGTACTGGTTAACCCTTTTGTTGGATAGGAAGATCTATACCGTGATGGGTAGTAATGAGTATTTCTTTGTTGTTTCTGAAAGAACGACCGGATAAGGCTTATCATCGGACAAGTACCTGTTTATTGAGGAACAGCTTTCCACATTTATAGAGCCAGGAACCATTCAACAGAGCAAGGTATTGGCACAGGGCACTTTCTGATTGGTGGGTAAGGATCATGAGGGTCAGCAGGGCTCACCATTGGGCAGCTCTTCCTGCCACTGTCTCTGGGCATGAGGAAGTTAGTACCAGAAGAGAAGCGTGGTCGGTGCCATCTTTGGACCCAGGGCAATTCCCAACATTTTCTGTATGAATCTTTCTCATATAAATCATCCAGAAAATTTTGAAGTCCAGGATATTAAAGGGGGCACATGTATCAGAGGAATGAATGTCTCCCCTAGGCAAAATAAAGAACTTTGGATTTTCTTCTGGAGAAAGTGTTAACGTGTTTGCCTTCATGCTGCATGTATTGTATTTAGTTACGCAAGCATCATTTTTGTATTTGGAGGTTAACCTGACAGATGGAGGTGTGCATGTGTACCAAAAGGGGAGAAGATGGACTGCAGTGACTTTGCGATGTGTGACGTTTTTTAGGATAAACTGAATTTCACCAAATTCCCTCTAATCCATAATTTCTAGTTAAGGTGGGTCTTAGAGGAGCTTCCTGGGAGATTAGAGGGCAGGAGGGAAGCAGTTATCCTGTTGTATTAATACGTTGCTGGAGATCTGCTGGCTCATTCCTCACTGGTATGGAGCAGTCGCTGGGCCTGCAGTTGCTCTACCTTCCCCAAGATTCTCCTTTAGGCTCTTTGAATTCTGGGCTAGGTATGGGCATTCAGCTTACTAAAAATATGACTTAAAGTTCCCATGTACCTATATGAACACACCATGTGGATCTTATCTGGATGTATATCCATAAGTAACTAATAAAAAGCTATAAATAATAGCAGATCAGCAGAGTAGAGGGAAGTAATCAGAGGAAGGGAGGAGAAGAGGAAAAAGGGAAGTATGGGGACTGAATTGAGGCCTATTTTAACCTTTTTAATTATGTTAAAAGAAACCCAAAAGGTTTGTAGAATTCAAAAGAGCCAATACAAAAAAGGAACCCCAGTGCCTAATTCCATAGGCAAGCAGAACTGACTCTTTTTTTGTTTTTTTTTGTGTTCTTTTGTGGGGTCACAGCTCATGCTTTTGGATTTCGTCTGTCTCTTGTCTGCCCTGCTTTGTACTATCTTCCCTTTCTACTGCTTGTGCTGTAGACTTAAAGTTTCCACATCAGACTTAAACATGACAGAAGTGCACGAACTCCTTAACCAGCTTCCACAAAAAAAAATAAGGCCAAAGTTTTGTAATGCAACCCTTAACCATTACATGTATTAATAGAAATGTCTTAGTGGTTCAGCTGCTCTTGTTATAAGCTGCCTGTAAAATCAGAAACATAATCAAACAACCATACAAACATAGACACACACTAACACAAATCAAACATATGATTATATACACATATGCCTACATTTAGTAAGAAGAGTCATAAATTTTGGCCCTTAATAGAGTCTTGAAATTTCAAGTGACCATGATCGTAATGACAAATTTTAGGTTTCTCTTGTTTTGAAAAACTGAATTTCAATAATTTCAACTGCAGATTAATTACAAATAGAGAAAAAAAATCTCTTCACAAATGTTTTATTGGATCAAGAGAGCTTATCGCCATGTACACAGGATCCCATATTTCTGGCATCACAATCTGTCTCCACTCCCTGTTTCCCTAGGAACTGAGAAGGAAGCATGTGGCTGAGGAATCAGACGTCTCTGGCAGACTTCATCTTTGAAGGGCTCTTTGATGACTTTCCAACCCACCTTTTCCTTTTTTGCCTTACCATGGTGGTCTACCTTTTTGCACTGGGTGGCAACACCCTCACCATCCTCCTCATCTGTGTGGATCATGGGCTTCACACACCCATGTACTTCCTGCTCAGCCAGCTCTCCCTCATGGGCCTGATGCACGTCTGCACAACCATCCCCAAGATGGCTACCAACTACCTGTCTGGCACCAAGTCCGTCTCCTTCTTAGGATGTGCCACCCAGCACTTCCTCTATTTGTCTCTGGGTGGTGCTGAGTGTCTTCTGCTAGCTCTCATGTCCTATGACAGGTATGTTGCCATTTGTCAGCCTCTGCATTACAAAGTGCTCATGAGCAGGAAGGTGGCACTGATGATGGCCCTCACCTCATGGTTGGGGGCATCTCTGAACTCCCTAATTCACAAAGTCATCTTGATACTCTTTCCATTCTGTGGGACTCAGAAAATACACCACTTCTACTGTGAGTATCCAGCTGTCGTGAAGTTGGTATTTGTTAACGTCACTGTCTATGTGTCCACAGTGTTCATCAGCACCATCATACTTCTCCTCCTCCCCATCATCCTGGTTTCTACATTCTATGGCTTCATCCTGCACAGTGTCTTTGAGATGCATTCATCTAGGTTTAAGAGAAATATCTTTGCCACTTGCAGCTCCCATCTCATTGTGTTGTCTCTCTGGTTTGGTGCCTGCATCTTCTCATACGTGAGGCTTAGGTCCCAGCACACTCCACTGCAAGACAAAGTTGGTTCTGTGTTCTATAGGATCATTACTCCCACTCTGAATCTTCTGATTTATACTCTCTGGAATACAAATGTAGCTAAGGCTCTGAGGAGAGTGTTAGGGATACAGATCACCCAG